CAGGTACGGCATGCGCCGGCCAGGGAGGGCATGCGATGCGAACACCAAACCCGAAAGGGGGAAAAGGAAGGAAGGAACGACAACAACAACAACAAAGGAACGCCCCCGCTCACTTGATGCGCGTGCCGCCGCCCAGCGTGCTGCCGGCCAGCACCAAGAGCGAGGCGTCCTCGGTCGACAGGATGCCGCCCTGCTCGTACATCGCCTGGAAGGCCTGGCCCTCCTGCGGTACAATGGGCAGGCGGTACCATGCAGTACATCGAACTAACTATCTTGGGCAGTACAGCAGGCCGCACGGAAGGCCTGGCCCCTGTTGCGGCAGCGGGAGGAGGGGGCTAGGCACGGCGCTGCCGCCCTGCGGCTGACACACACGCTGCACCGCTGCCAACTGCACAGCACAGCGTGGCTAGCCAGGAGCCCCGCCATGCTTTCCACCCCGGCGAACGAGAGCGGGGCTTGCCTGCAGCGTCATGTCCCGGGCGGGCACAAAGCCGTTCTTCTCCAGCACCACCACCCGCAGCCCTGCCGCCGCCAGGTTGGCCGCCGCCACTCCGCCGCCGGCGCCGCTGCCCACCACCACCACATCGCACTGCACCGCCAGCTGCAGTGAAGGCAAGGGCAGGGCACGGCGGGGGCGGGTGGCGGCATGCACCATCGGTCCATGGTGGTCCCAGCAGCATCCGGCACAGGCCAGGCCACGAGAAGAAGCATGGCAAGCATGCCCCACGCCAGGAGCCGGCGGCGGCAGCAGCCGCCAGGGCCAGCAGCGCGGCGCGCCTGCGGCCGCTCCCGCGCCACAGCCGCGGAGCCGTAGTCCCCAGGCCACGCCACCCGCAGTCCTTTGGCCGCCAGCGCCGCCCCCGCCCCGGCAGCGCTGCCGGGCGAGGCGTCCGCGCCGGCAAGGTCGACGAGCGCCGCCGCCACGGCGGCCTCGGCGGCGATGGCGGCCGGGGCGGGCGCCGGTGGCCTCTGCGGGTCGGTCACGGGGTACCGCATGGCCGCCAGCAGGTCCGAGGTACCATCAGGACTTAGCTGAGTAAACTGGGCGGACATGAGGAGGGACTTGAGGCCCTTGAAAGCCTGCGGAAACGATCGGCAGGGGGACGGCAGGAGACAGTAGAGAGGCAGGCGTCATGCTGAGCAGATGGAGGACCAGCCGGCTGCTTCGCAGGTGCAGCGGGGGGAAGGAACCGCAAGCTTCAGCTGGAATCGGTGTGAGCGGGGCGGGCTACGACAGCGAGCGTCGAGCGCCGCACCTTGCGCATGCGTGCGTCTGGGCTGCTGTACCACGCCTGCAGTACCGCCTCGCGCTGCTGGCGCGGCAGGTCTGGGAACGCGGACGGCAGGCCGAAGCTGCTTCTGCAGGGAGGGCAGGGAGCAAGAGCAGGATGTGGGCATGCGGCGCGACAGCGCCGGTCGGCAGTCCGGCTGGGGCAGTGCTTCCCAGGGGGGCGCCTGGCAGTGCAGGCACCAGCAGCAGCAAGGCAGACAAAGACCAGCAGCAAGGCAGAAAGCGGGGGTGCAGGCGCCGAGGGCGGCGGCACCCGCCTGAAGGCGCTGCGCCCCAGGAGCAGCAGGCAGCCGAGGCGGGAGGCCAGCAGGCGCAGCAGCAGGTACAGCTCCCGCTGCGCCTCGGGGGTCAGCCGCACCTCGATCGTCTCGATCACCTGCTGGGGAGAAGGGGTCAGGGCAGGGGCGCGTGTGGCACAGCCCAGCCAGGCCGCGGGCTGGGGCTGCAGGGTGGCGTCAAGCGCTGGCCGCCACAGTGCCGAGCAGCGGCTGCGTGTGTGAAGAGCAGCTTCCGACCCCCCGTCCAAGCTCCAGTCCTGCCACCTCGACCCTCCCAGCTTCCTGCCGCCTCCCGACAAACCCGGTTGCCTTGTAGAGAACTTCATCGCAGGCGCCGCTGTGGCGGAAGAGCGCCGCGGCCAGCCGATCGCCGGCGGCGGCGGCCTCTGCCGCCCGCGCCTCCGCGGCGGGAAACAGGGCATCCGCAACCGCTCGTAGCACGGCCACACGCGACTCCATGGCAGGGCCCGTGGGCCACAGGGTTGGGCTGGTGCGAAGTTGTTGGGGTCTTTTGATGGGTCGTCTAGGTCTCCTGGGCTGCCGCAATCGGCTACCAGAGCTTCAATTGTTGGGTCCCAGGCGTCCCGGTAGGCTGTTTAAGTTTCCGCCATCCGACGTGGTCCAGCCTGTCGCTTTCCCTCAAACGAATGGCCTGGATCGCATCCCCGATCACCGCATCAGACCCCAGTCATGCTGCTGTGGGCGGGCCTGGCGGTGCGCGCTCTTCTTCTGATCGTGGGCCAGTGGCAGGACGCGCACTCCCAAGTCAAGTACACGGACATCGATTACGAGGTGTACACCGATGCCGCAGCCTCCATGGCCCGGGGCGGCTCCCCCTACGACCGCTCCACCTACCGCTACACCCCGCTGCTCGCTGCGGCCCTGGTGCCCAACGTGACGCTGCACAAGGCGTGGGGCAAGCTGCTGTTCTGCGGCGCCGACCTGCTGGCGGCCTGGTGAGGGCGCCGGGGGCGGCGGCTCGCCTGCTGTCGCCAGCTGCCGCCATTTTTCACAGCTGAGCACTCCCTCGCCCCCCGCCTGTCTGCGGCAGGCCTCAGCCCTGCCCCTCGGCTCCCGCATGCACGCAGGCTGTTCCGAGTGCTGCTGCGGCGGCGCGGGGCGGCGCCGCGGCTGCAGGCGGCGGGCGTGGCGTTGTGGCTGTTCAGTCCGCTCACCGCCGCCATCTCCACGCGCGGCAATGGCGAGGCGCTGGTCACCTGCATGCTGCTGGGCCTGCTGCTGGGCCTGGACTCTGGTATGCATGCCGCCTTCCGCAAGCAGCGCTGAGGGTGCTCGGCTGCTGCCCGCTTTTTCCTTCCGTCGCACCTTGCCTCGCTGCATGGTACGCAAATGAGGCGCCTGCCTGACGCCCGGCCGGTGTTTCGTGGTGCCGCCGCGCATGCAGGCCGGCTGGTGGCGGCGGCGCTGCTGTTTGGGCTGGCGGTGCACTGGCGCCTGTACCCAATCATCTTCGCCCTGCCTCTGCTGCGCCACTTTGCGCTCCTGCGGCTGCGGCGGCAGCAGGCCGCGGCTGCGGCCCCCGGCAGCCCGCGCCCGTGCCCCCGGCCGCCGTCGGGGCTGCTGGGGGCCGCAGCGGGCAGCCTGCTGTCGCCTGAAGGGCTGGCCTTTGCGGCCCTGTCTGGCTTGGTCTTCCTGTGCCTGGGCGTGGCATGGTACTGCCTGTACGGCTGGCAGTTTTTGCATGAAACCTACCTGTACCATGCCAGCCGCACCGACCCCCGCCACAACTTCTCCCCCTACTTCTACCCAGCCTACCTGGCCAGCAGCGGGGCGCCGGGCAGCGGCGCGTGGGACGTGGGCTGGTGAGGCGCGCCGCCGCGGGGCCGCGGGGCGCCAGAGGCGCGAGCCGGGAGGCCAGCTTGGCGAGGGGCTGCAGGCAGGCGGGCTGAGCCTCCTGCCCGCTGCTGCCCCTCCCGCCTGCCTGCCTACCTGCCTGCCTGCCTGCCTGCCTGCAGGGCGTTCAGCCTGGCGCAGCTGGTGCTGCAGGCGGCGGTGGGCTGGCGCTGCGCCGCCGACCTGCCCTTCTGCTTCCTGCTGCAAACCGTGGTGCTGGTGGCATTCAACAAGGCGAGCCGAGGGAGGGGGCAGGGCCTGGAGGTGCAAGGCGGTGCCCGCAGGCGCAAGCAAGTGCTTGCACTTGCAATGGGAGGAGGGTGCCGGCTGGCTTGCCTGGCGGCTGCTTGGGACCCTGCATGGCAGCAGCCCACCTTGCTTTGTGCTTAGTACTGCCTGCAGGTCTGTACCGCACAGTATTTTGTGTGGTACCTCTCCTTCCTCCCTCTGGTACTGCCCGACCTGGCGGCCGCTCCCAACAAGGTGCGCCGCCGCCACTGCTGCTCAAGCCCTTGCCCCTCCTTGTGCTGCTGCCTGCGCCGGTGCTGCGGCCGTGCCCGCTGGGCTCCCTGCGCCCGGCACCTTTCGCACCTGCGCTGTCGGGGTCGGCCGGGGCTGACAGGCCTGCCCCGCCCCCCTGCTGCTGCAGCGGCAGCTGCTGGCGGCCGGCGCAGCGTGGGGCGCCGCCATGGCCCATTGGCTGCTGTGGGCCTACCTGCTGGAGTTCCAGGGCTTGCGGGTGCACCTGGGGGTGTGGGCAGCCAGCCTGGCCTTCTTCGGCGCCCACGTCTGGCTCATTTGCGAGCTGCTGGCGGCCTGGCGGCACAAGGAGGCGGCCGGCACGGCGAAGCGGAAGCGCACGTGACCGAGGGCAGCTGGCTGCGGCGGCGTGCAGTCAGCTGCGCTGTTGTATGCTCTGCCCGGCAGGCGGCCTGCCCTCCCACTGTTCATCCACAACAGGTTGTGATCTGTGCAAAGCAGGCTGCAGAACCAAGCACACACATGCATGCATCGGGACAGAGAGAAAGTTTTCCTTGTGCCGACTCTAAATGTTCTCGCGGCGGCCTCAAGACTTGCCGCCGGGCGCCTCTTTCCTCCTGCTACCCGCTTGACTACCTCCCTCACGCCCCGCCGCCGCCGCCGCTGCCGAGCCACCGCGCGCTCCCGGCCGTCGCCGCCAGCAGCAGGTGCCATGCGATGAGGCATGCCATCGGGAACTGGTAGCCCAGTGCCAGCCACTCGTAGCCCACGGCAGCCACCACCGCCCACTGCTTCTCCTGGGGCTGCAGGTGGGCGGCGTGCTGGGCGGCGAAGCGGGCGCGTGCGTTGGCCTCGCTCAGCGCCGCCACCCAGACCGGCAGCAGCCAGCCCAGGCACAGCTGCATGGGGGCGGAGCGAGGAGGAGGCACAAGCACAGGCCTTTAGGCACAGACCAGGCACAGAAGCAAGCATGGCCCGGGGCGCAGGAGCTGGCAATGCACCATGCGAGGATCGACAGCCGGGGTGGGGCAGCCGAGCGTGCAACCCCACCACGCCATGCCCCTGCATGCCTGCAGGCCAGCGCTGAGGCTAGCCCCTCAGTGCTGGCAGGCCCCCGCAGCTTGCCTGCAGCCAGGTCAGCAGCAGCGGGCATGCATCCAGCTGGGCCGGCAGGACAAGCAGGTGCGGGCCTCCCGGCTGCGCCTCGGTGCCGCCCTGCCCGCCGCCGGCTCCGGGCGTGGGACGCAGCGGCAGCAGGTGCGCGTTGGTCAGCATGGCGGCGAGGTGCTGCACCAGGGGCCTGCCGCGGGCAGGGGAGGCCAGGTCGGGCCTGCCGCACACGTCTTGGTACGAGGTCTGCGCCGCCGCCGCCGCCAGTAGCGCCGTCTGCAGCGCCGCGGCGTGCTGCCAGCGGGCGTAGCGGAAGGCTAGGCCGGCGTGCGTGAGCGCAAACAGCTTGCTCTGCGGGCGGGGACAGCGGCGCAGCGGCACAGGGCAGACAGCAGCTCTGCTCAGGGGTGGCAGCTGGCAGGCAAGACAGAGCTTAGGCAAGAGGTGCATGCGTTGCCTAAATGGTTGGCTGCTTGATTGAATGGGCACCTTCAAAGCTGGGGCATCGACACGCGGCAGCGGCAGCATGCGGGGTACACCTGGCGGCAGCGCCAGCTGACCTGTCCCACCTCCGAGAGCAGGGCGGTGAGCGACAACGGGGCCCCGCCTCCTGCGCTGCGCCCTTCTCGCCAGGCAGGCACACGTCTGCCGCCAGGCCCAGCTGGCCGAGGGGAAACGAGGGAGAGGGCTGGTCCTGGCTGCACGCTCCAGTGCCTGCCGGCGCCTGCCCAGGCGCAGCGGCGTCGGCCGGGAGCTCGCGGCCGCTGCACGAGCGCTGCAGGAGGCGCAGCAGGCCTCCGCCGCCGGGCGCAGGGTCTGGGCCTGGGCCGCCGGCGCCGGCAGGCGCGGCGCCGCCGCCGCTGCCGCACCTGCCCACCTCCCAGCACAGCAGGGCGAAGAGGCAGAGCTTGAGGAGGGTGAGGCAGCGGTTGCGGGAGCGGCACAGGGTCCAGTTGCGGCCTTCAGCCAGCGGGATAAAGTTGAGGGCCAGCAGCAGCGCCGCCTGCATGGGGATGGGGTGGGGGCGCAAGAGAGGTGAGAGGTGTGCCACAAGCCCACCGTGACATTCGTTCGCAAGGGAGGGGGCTGCAGCAGAGGATAGAATTGGCACCGCAAATCCTCCGGCTGCCGCTTTTGGTTTCAGCCTGTGGCGTGCTGCCGCCAGGCGTCGCTCAGCGGGCATCCCCCTGCGCGGGCCCTCCCCCATCCCCCTGCGCAGGGCCTCCCCTCCCCCCACCCTCACCTTGCCGCACATCCGCTTCTGACCCGACAGCGCAAAGGAGCTCAGCTGGGTGAGCCAGAGGCACCAGGAGAGGGCGGCCACGCCCGTGTCGGAGCGGGCCAGCGCGGCGTTGCGGGCGGCCAGGAAGGCCCGCTCCAGCTCGGGATGGAACCGCATGGCGGCCGCCCAGCACCGCCGCTGCCGCTGCTGCTGCCACTGCTGCAGCTGCCGATCTCAGGCTGCTGCTTCGTGCGCCACTCTTGTTCGGGCTTGTCGGGCTAGCTTGCTTGGCCTGGGAAGGGGGCGTGGCAGGGAGGGGAGAGATGAGGGATGGGCCAGCGGCGGGGAGCGGGGCGCCCTGCTCTGCGGGGTCGCTGGCGAGGCGGCGGCTGGGGCTGGCAGGCATCGTGGCTGGAGCAGGCTGGGCCTGGGCGGTGTGCAGGGCTGTAGCCTTACCTTGGGCGGACCTCGAGGGAGCAAGGCACGAAGACAGGGACGCCCCGTGCTGGGGGGAACCAACGTGGGCCGTGTGATCTGTGATCCCAGTGGGCTTGGGCTGCTCAGGGGCAGCTACACATGCACGCCTACACGCTCCTGCCGCTCCTGCACGCTCCTGCACTCGTCCAAGGTGGCTTGCAGCTGTAAGAAATGTCCTATCTGAAGAGCTGCATGTCACCATGTGCTCCTTTCCCATAGTTGTGCCGCCGAGGCGCCACGGCGTGCCCTGCTGGCAGCGGCTTGTGGCTACGGCCAGGAGAAGCCGATTCCCCCCTCCTCCTTCTGTCCCTCCTGCCAGCAAGCTGTCAAGCTGCTCTGGTTCAGTCTCCTTCAAGCAAGCGGCCTTCTTGCCACGCTTCACGTGCAACGCACCCAACCTGCCACCCTCCCAGCGCCGTTCAAGGTCGGGCAGACGGGCAGGCACCCCTGGAACACAACACCAGGCCGGCCCGGGGGTGCAGCCCAGCTCAGCCGCTTGGCCCACCCCAAGCACCCCTAACCCGCCTCTCGTCTTGCCTGCGCGATGCAGGCATGACTGAGAGGCCAGGATCGATGTCCAGCGCCAGTGCCAGCGGCAGCGGCAGCGGCGGCGCCAGCCGGGGCACCCCCGCAGCCGCCGCCGCCACCGCACACTCGCCGCCGGCGCGCGACCCCGGCGCAGAGTTTCTGGAGCAGCGGCTGCGGCGCGCTGCGGCCATACCCCCTGCGGAGCGCAGCCCCGAGGTGGCTGGCTTGCTGGAGGGGGCACAGCTGGAGCGCGAGGCCTGGGAGCTCATTCCTGTGGACAGCAGCGGCACGCCGCAGCCCGCACACGCGGGGCTGCAGCAGGTGCTGCTGGCCCTTGAGATGCACGCCCGAGCACATTATCTGTGCGAGGGGTGCACTCCCGGGAGCAGCGAAGGAGGAGCGCACTTGGGGGCCTGCGTGCGCTACCTACACGGCCATGGTGCAGGCAGCACCGCACCCGCGCAGCCAACGATGCCCAAGCCGAGTGACAAGTATGGGGCGCTGGCGTTCGTCCTGGTCAGCCAGGCAACCATGGCAGAGCAAGTCGATGCTGCAAAGCTGCCAGCAGAGCTGCCGATGGCCTCTTACCTCTACTCCAAGCTGCAGTGCTGCCTTTGGCGGCAGGAAATCCTGTCGAGGCCTGCCTTCCGGCAGCAGGTAGACAGCGAGCTGGCCGAGCTCACAGCCAATGCTCAGCGACAGCACCATGGTCGGCAGCACGGGCAGCAGCAGCAGCAGCAGCCGCCACTCACTGCACGGCAGCTGCAGTTTTTGGCCTGCACCCTGGTGTTCGTCAATGCTTACGACACCGCCCAGAGCGGCGCTGGAGGGGGGGAGCAGCCGACCCGTGAGCGGTGCCTGACTCCAGCGCAGCTGGAGGCTGCTGACAGAGCGAAAGTGAGCAGTGCAGAAATGATGCATGCTCTGGAGCCTGACCGGCCAGCGAGCTGCCTCTGCCTGGCGATGGCGCTGAAGGGCTGCGCCGCCGGGTCCGTCCAACGCGTCATCAGCCTGTGCCAGCGCGCGATTCGGCTTTCGCAGCAGCAGGGCAGCGATCTGTGGCTGGCGCGCAGCAGCCTTAGGTTTGCAGATACAGTAATCAGTGCAGGTGACGCGCTGGCTGTGGACTGCGGCATGGTCCAGGCAGCGCTGGCAGCCCTGCAGCAGGTGGTGCCGGCGGTGCGGCGCTGCAGGCGCGTGCTGCCAGAGAGTTGGCTGCATCCCTTTCAGGAGCCGGTCGGTATCGTGCAGAAGCATCAGTACATGCTGGAGGCAATGCTGCAGCTGCTCGAAGGCGCCCATGGCTCCTCAGAGAGCGATGTGGCTGCAGCGCGGAGCGCAGTGCACGAAGCCGAAGCGGCCCTGCAGCAGAGTATCCGCACGGTCCAACAGGCCAACGTATTTGTATGCGACGGCTGCCACCAGACAGCTCTCAATCTGCGCCGTTGCTCGCGATGCAGGCATGCCGTCTACTGCAGGCAAGCCTGTGCTGTCGCTGCCTGCTGCAGTGCCTGCTGCTGCTGCCACTACCGCGCCTGAGTAGGAGTGTCAATTCTTCTGGTGCTCCTGCTTGCCTGCCTGCCGCAGTCGTGAGTGCCAAGTGGCGCATTGGAAAGAGCACAAGCGGGAGTGCGCGCCGGCCCCCAGCCCCTGAAGCGCCGGCCGGGAGCAGCGCCAAGTGCTGCACGGGGCGGTTTGAAATGTCGTGCGTTTTGAATCAGGAACAGATCTGTGGGATTTCAGGATGAAATGGGGCAGTGCACTGACTTGTGGTCCCAACGTCTGATGGCTGGAGCTGCCTGCTTTTCTCCAGATGACATCATCCACATGCCTGGCCGTGTTTTTCTCCGCTACCGCTTGTACCCAGCTTGTACTCAGCGCCACCTGTGGCCTTCTACTCGGGCTTGCGCCCGGTGATCAGCACAAACTTGACCAGGCCCATGCGGAAGCCCTGGGCCATCAGGGGCATGACCTGCAGCGGGCAGGGGAGCGGCGGGCGGAGGGTGAGTGCGTTGGGGAATCGGGACCAGCATGCTGCGGGAATGCATCCGGGAGAGGCAGCAGCGCTGCGGTACCGTCGTCGTGCTGCTGATCCGCTCCACAGGCTGCCAGCTCCCCGCTGCCGCCGGCCGGTCAGCTGGCCTCGCCATGCCCAACCCCGCTTTGCTGCACCACGCATCTCGGTACCGCCCCGCCACCTTCTGCACACCCGCGCGGCAGGTCTGCCGCCAGCCCCGCCACCTCCTCCCCGAAGGAAGAAAGGAAGGAAGAAAGGAGCTCACCAGGGCGCCCTTGATGGTGGTCCACCCCGCCTTGAGCAGCCCGCTGACCCCCTCCGCGCTGAAGGCGCTCTTGATGACCTCCCCCCAGAACGGAGCCACCTCCTCCGACCAGTCGGTCGTCCTGATGTCTGCGGGCGGGGAGGGGCGGCGGCAGCATCGGCGGCGGGAGGTACTTTGAGCAGGGCGGAGAGCGGTCGAGGCGCGGTCGCTGCCTCGGATGCACCCTCCCAGCACAGCTGCCTAATCGGGCGTCGGAGCGAACACAGCCAGCAGAAAACCGAAAGGAAGAACGTCTAACTAAAAGAAGATTCAAACGTGGGAGGAGGTCTCACCCGTCAGCCCCTGCTCCCGGAACAGCTGCTCATAGTCTGCCACGGAGCACCAGGCGGGGAGGTAGTAGGCTTCACAGATGCGGTCCAGCAGCGCCTGCTCGTCTCCCGACAGCCCCGCCTCGCCGGGGGCCAGCACCCTGCGGCCGCAGGAGAGGGAGGGAGGGCAGGCTCAATCAACAGGTGGACGGCCGGGGAGCAGGCGGGCGGATGTGAAGGGCTGGCGGGCGGGGAAGGGAGCAGGGCAGGAGGCCGCAGGACGGGGCAGGCAGCACTCCCACGCAGCCCCTGCCGCCAGTCTCGGCCCTCGGCGCAGCAGCCGCAGCCTGGGTCCTGCCACCCTGCACAGCCCCGCAGCACCAGCTCGGCAGCCCTGCCCACCTGTGGCACCACGTCACCACAATGATGCGGCCGCCGGGGGCGCACACCCGCGCCAGCTCTCCAACAAACCTGGGCTTGTCTGCAGCAGCGGGCAGGGGAGCAAACCCGTGGCGGCTTGGCTGCAGCGGCGGGCCAGCAGCAGCAGCAGCAGCAGCAGCCGCACGCGGGCCCCACAAGACGCGTGCTCCCTGCCCCGGCCCTGCCGCAGCTTGAACGCAGTGCCTGTCCTGCGGCGTCCCGGAGGGCCACAGGGGCAGCAGCAAGGCAGGGCAGCAAGGGAGGCAGTCATGGCAGCACCAGCAGCGCGTTCACCAGGCATGTGCTCCCCGCTCTCCATGCTCCACACCAGATCAAACTCGCCGTCAGGAAAGGGCTGGTCCAGCGCGTCTGCAGGCGCAGCAGCAGCCGCAGGCATGGAGTGGAGGGCACACCACAGCCAGCGCCGGCGCGGCGGCACGCCGGTGCGCCAACCTCGCATGCTTGCCTGTGCGCGTAGCTCCCACCTGCCCATACCCATCCCACCCAGCCGTCCGCCGGCCCGCTCCACCCATGCATGCCCCCGCCACTCACCCGCCACCTGGAAAGACAGCCGGTCGCCAAAGCCTTGCTGCCTGCTGATCTCGTTGGCGCGCGCAGCCTGCACGGGGCTCAGCGTGATGCCGCGCGACTCGCACCCAAACTTGCGCGCGATGTGGCGGCTGCTGCCGCCGATGCCGCACCCCACGTCCACCATCTGTGCGCAGGAGGCAGGGGGGAGGATGGAGGGAGCACAGTGTGGGGGGCACAGTGGGACAGGCGCCGGGGACAGGCACAAGACGTGTGTCTCTTTTTTTTACTGTTCAAGGTTGCATGGCCCTGCTGCCAGGCAACCCGGCTGTGCTCTGCCCCTCACCACACCGACACATGCCACCAACTACAGGCGTGAGCACCGCATACACCCAGCACCGCCAATCGGTAAGGGTGCCCCACCTTGGTGGCGCCCTCGGCCCCCGCCCATCGCAGGCTCTCCTCAATCATGTCCAGCTGCGCCTGCTGGTTGCTCTTGGGGGCGCCGCCTTTGGGGTAGTAGCCATGGTGCATGTGCTCCCCCTGCAGGCAAGCTTAGCGGGCGCGCCGCTGACTGTCCAGCCCGACACGGCTGCGCAAAAACAACTTCACTAGGTGGAGCTGGTTGAGGGTAGGTCACTGGAGCGCCTGGCCGCACACGCACCCACATCGACTCCCACAGCTGGCTGGACTCGTCGTAAAAGTTGGCGATGCCTTCTTTGAGCGGCTTGCGCTGCAGACGGGAGCAGCGCAGGCATGCTCCTTCAGCACATTGTAGTGTGGCAGCTGCTGGCTGTCCATCTTGAGCACCAGGCGGGCGCGTGGCGGCAGGCGGGTGGCGGTGGCGGCACCAGTGCACCAGTCTTTGCCTACCCCGCTCATTCCCGGCTGCAGCCCCGCATCGGCCTCACCTCCCCGCTGCTGGTGATCGGCTTGATAAGCGTGTCCAGCAGGCCGGCCCTGGCTGCCAAGCCTCGCCTGCGTCTGCTGCGTTGCTGCGGGCCGGCTGGCTGCTGCACCAGGCTGCTGCGTTGTGAGGCGATCCATGAACAGCACGCCATGGCCGCTGGCCTGCTTGTGGTGGTGCAGCACAGGGCTTCACGGGTTCCAGGCGATCCAGGTGCAGGAATCAAGGCTCCTTCGATCGCTGGTTCCGTTGGGCAATGGAATGGGGCCTCCGCTGCATAGGGTGTAGATGCTCAGCTGGCGCCGCCGCCACTGGGCGGCCACCACCATTTTGGCCGATCAGAGAGCATGACACCAATCTGCGCACGCTTCTCTAATTGCACGCAACATCTACAGCTCTGTTTGACTGCTCCCCAGCCATTTCCGACTTTGAGATCACTGTCTGCTACCTCAAGACGGCCCCTGGCGCAGCCCTGCAGCCCATCAGCAGCAGCCACACGCCCGATGTTCATTGGCGCCTATGTTGGCGCCCGCCCCCTGGGGCGCCCGCTGCCGCCGCTGGGCGAGGTGCCGCAGAGCGCCCAGGTGCCGCTGTTCCTCATCTACAGCTTTGCCCGAGACGCGGCCAAGGACGGGCGGTTTGAGTTTTACGGTGGGTCACCTGTTGAGACAGTCAGCGGTGCTGGAATGGCAGCGCGACACCGTTGAGACCGGGAGCTTGCCGCTCCTACTGACCGACTCTGCCTGCCGAGCGTGCCCCCCTGCCTCCCCTGGGCCCCCGCTGACCCAACCGACTCTTGACTTCTCCCCTGCCTGCCCTGCGAACCCAACCCGCAGACCCCTGGCAGCTGGAGACCGCCGTGCGACAGCAGTGCGGCAACCAGCGCGGCATGCTGTCGCTGGCGGGGGCGGGGTTCAGCTGGGGCTCCGCGGTGGGGCTGGACGAGTGGGTGGCAAACGCCCTGGACAGCCTGCAGCGCATGCTGGACAAGTATGGGCTGGTGGGCCTGGACATCAATTACGAGGTGAGATTGCAAGCTGCGCTGCCTTGGCCCGCGCCGTGGCGGTACCGGGAGTGGGCATGGCTGCGGTCGCCGCCAGTCGAATCCTGTGTCATGTGCCAATGAAGGGCAAAGAGCTCCTGCATCCGCCTGGCGGGCAAGCGCTGCCTTCCTTCTCCCTGCCGCAGGAGGGTCTGGATGAGCGGGGCGGCTTCGCGGAGGCCATGGCTGCGCTGATTGCGCAGCTCAAGGCCTGGCGGGCCAGCCTGCTGGTCACCATCTCGCCCTATTGCGCCACTTGGCCGCACTACCGCCAGCTGCTGCAGCTGGCGGGTGCCAGCATCGATTTCGTCAACTGGCAGCTGTATGCGGAGCTGGAGTCACCGGATGCCACAGCGGAGGAGGTGGGTTGCTTGGGCAACGGCTCAGAAGGACCTATGGTACCATCTCTTACCTTGGTCCGCCCTGAGCTGACATGCGGTGCCTCGCCTTGCTGCAGGCAGTTGCCGTGTACGAGCGGCTGGCTCGGGAGGTGGGCGGCTACAGCAAGCTGACCCTGGGGGTGAACACGGGTGGGTGCCTGCCCGGGCTGGGGGACGCGCATGCCAAGCGCAGCGGCCACCATGGCACGCCCATGCCCTGCCCATGCCCACTGCTCCTCCCGGCATGTGTATGCAGAGCCCAAGGATCTGCGAGGGCCGCGGCTGGGGGCGTGCCTGGCGGCCCTCCACGTGCTGAAGGGCCGCGGCATCGGCGGCGCCTTTGTGTGGGCGCTGGATAACAGCTGCGGCTGCGGATTCCAGGCCGAGTCGGCCTTGCTGCGCATCGCTGGCGAGCCGACAGGGGTGCACGCCCAGCAGCAGCAGGGCCAGGCTGCCGGCGGCGGGGCGCAGCAGGCGGCGACCGGCGGGGCTGCGGCCAGCGGCGGCGGGCAGCACGTGGCGAGTTACAGTGGCAGCACCTGCTGCTGCATCGGCTGAGCCGCAGGTGTGCAAGGCAGAGCCAGAATGGTGCAAGATCAAATCGAATCAAATGGCCATCAGTATCATCACATAGTCATCAATCAAAGACGCTGGGCAGATAGGGAGAGGGCTGCTGGGCGTTGCGCAGCGAGGTTCGTTTGTGGGGATCGCGCTTGGGGCAAGCAAAGCAAGCCGCAGGCGTTCGGGCGGGCCCAGGTCAGGCTCCTGAGAGGCTCAGGCAGAGGGGCAGAGGGCCCGGCTGCACTCGGAGTCCACACCGAGCTCACACGGAGGCAAACAGCTCGGTGAAGGGTGCGGGGGGCGCGCCCTGCTCCGCGATGATCTCCACCACCTTGCCGCTGGCAGACGGCTCCACCAGCGCCGCCACGCAGCAGTCCGCCACCTGCGAGCGCAGCACGCTGCCGGGCCGCTTGCGCGGCGGCAGGCCATAGGCGTCCGCCCCGCCCAGCACCACCTGCCCCGCCGCCTGCCCCGCCCGCGGCTCGTCCAGCAGGCCGCCTGCAGGGGAGGGCAGGGAGGGCGGGCGGGCAAACGAGGCGGTCGAGCGGCGGCCGGGCCTCACATTACAGCAGTGCATGCGGCACTGCTGCCCGACCTGCGGGCACCCCGCATGCCGAGCGCCCAGCTCTGCCGCCCAGCCCTGCACCCCAGCCCATCCGACCCCGCAGGCACCACGCGCCACACCCCTCTCCTGCCGACAACAACACACACACAGTGCAGGCGGCGCGCTCACCCGGCCGCACGATGGTGTAGTCCAGGCCACTGCGCTGCACCGCCAGCTCGCCCTGCTTCTTCCACAGCAGCACGCCCCAGAAGAGGTTGAGCGGGAAGAGCGGGTCGTCGCAGCCGATGGAGCTCACCAGCACAAACTTCTTCACGCCCTGCGAGCGGTTGGAGGGCAAGGGGCCGGCGGCGAGGGCCATGGTTGGCAACCTGTTTTTACATAATCATTTCCATGTGTGATCCTTTATGTAATGCAGCGAGGTGGGGCGGCATTGAAGCGGCAGCGGCGCGGCGGCGTGGATGCCCCGGCGATTCCGCTGCAGCGGCGCCGCGGGTGGCAGGCACCCTGCGCCCGCTTGCCTGCTGCTGCGCGGCGGCCACCAGGTTCTTGTTGCCCTCGCAGTCAGTCAGGTAGGGCCCCAGCGGGTTGAAGCGGTCGGTGGGGCCGGTGGCGCAGATGACGGCGTTGCTGCGCGGCGGGGCAGGGCGGGGCAAGGGACACGCAGGGAACAGGGTGAGCGCCAGAGCGGGGCGAAGACGGGAGAGCGATCAAAGGAAACGCTGCCAACAAGGGCCGGCAGGGGCCTCCCGCTACTGCAGGGCCTCGTGCTACTGCAATACAAGCCAACCCCAGATACGGTGACAGCTGCACTGCTGTTTGGCGAGTGACTCACCAGCCCGCCATGGCCTTGGCGATGGTGCCAAACTTGTACACATCCCCCTCCACAATCTCCACGCCCCGGCTGGCCGGCGGCAGCATGCCCGCCGCCTTGACGCCGTCGCGCACCAGCGCCTTGACGGGCACACCCTGCGCCACCAGCTGCTGCACCACCGCCTTGCCGACGCCGCCCGTGGCGCCGGCGACCAGCACTTTGAGGCCCTGCATGCGGCGCGGGTGGTTGCCAGGTTGGGAAGGGGAACTGCGGATACGCCTCGAGGCAGCTACACTGCAATGCAGCGACGAAGCGGAAGCTTGGCACAGCCTGCAGCCTGCAAGGCAGGCGGCGGAGGGCGAGCGCGGCTGGCCGCCCACCCCAAAGCGCTCGTCGGCCTCTGGAAGCTGTCGGTCAAGCGGCGCCGTGGGTGCCGGCTCCAGCTCCGGGGCAGAGCTTGCGGTGGCGACCACTGCAGCTGGCAGACGTGGGCAGCAGCGATAGGGCTCAGACAGGCCGCGCAGCCGCAAAGAGGTGGCATGGCGGCAAGGCGCCAGCGCCAGACGGGCGCAGGAGCGTCGGGCCCGCAACGCCGCAGCGCACCACACAGGCTGCTTGCCCATCCACGTGAATGTGAAAGGCTGGCCAGGAGAAGCCGGAAACGGGCCCTGCGCACCTGCACCAGACCGCTTGCGGCCTGGACAACGCAGTTGAGCTGGGCGGATCATGGGAGACGCGGCATGTGCGCCTCTTGACGTTTTGCTGGCCGGGGCAGCGCAGAACGCGGCTGACACCGCCTGCATCGCCAACGCCATTGCTCCACTTCCTGTTCTTTGGGGAGGGGTGGGATGGCGGGTGATCAACTGCCTGAATGGCTGGAACGGGGGCATGCCCGTCAAAGCACCAATGCCACTGGCTCACCACAGCGCCCGCAGCGGCGGGTCCCGCCGCTTCCGCCTCAACAGGACTCGGTCACCGCGGCCGTCTCACCAGCTGCCGCAGCAACATTACAAGTGGGGATATTTTCGTAAATGAATGGAATGCAATACAAAAGGGGATTTATACATGCAGTGCTATAAGTCAGAATAAGCCGGCACGTCGCTTGGGGATCAAGGACCCACGCCACGCCACGCTATCCGGCTGCTCGCTTGCTCATTTGGGCGCATTCCCCCAGAGAAGCAAGAATCCATGCCGCCAGGCGGCGCTTGTGCCTGGGCCCCCCATGCCGTTCTGCTGCAAGGCAATCAGCACCGCCAGCGTGGTGAGGACGGCGGCGTTCCACCAGCAGCACATCATTGCAGAAGAGGCTGCACATGCAACGGTACACCACAGCTGTCTTGAACATTCTCTGCAGGGGCGCCTGCCATGGTGCCCACCTGTTCCCACGCCTCCCACAAGCCCCTCATTTCTGCAAATCTGCCAGCTCGGCCAGCATCTCCGCCACCGCGCCGAGCATCTGCTCCAGCGACTCGTCCATCTCCTGCATCTGCTGCAGCTGCGCTGGGGAAAGCTTGGGCGCCGCCCTTATGCTAGAAGAGGCAAAGCCTGCAGCCAGGGAAAGGCGGCACTGGGGTTGGGCATTAGGCAGGAGGCGGGAGGAGCAGGAGGCGGCAAATGGCTTGCGCCATCACGAGCCCCGCACCCCGGTGCTCAGACACATTGTCATTATTGCACCCCAGAAACCTGCCTGGGGTCCGCGATGCGGCCACGTTGTTCACGACCGAGCGTAAGGCAGCCTGCTGCGATGGGGCCGCCCCGCTCTGGCTGATCAACAGCCCATCTGCGCTCTTGGGTGCCTTGCAATTTGAAGGTGTGACCTGTGGCGTGTCTGCTGGCAGCAGCAGCGCGGGCCACTTCGACTTCCTCGGCGCCTTTGCAAGCGGACAGGTGCTGCCTACTGGGTGGTGCAGAGAGGAAGTCATGCACGGAGCGGCGCTGGGCGTCGAGAGGGCGTGGTCGATGCGAGCGGGAGGGGCGAACTCCCGACAGCTGCGACTTTTCATCTTGCCGCCCGCCCAGCGCGCAAAGCGCGACAGGCGCAGCACTTTCCCTGTGCAGGGAATAGAACCAATAACAGAGCAGCTGTCTGTCTGTCTATTACACCCATAAAGCAGGTGAATGCTGCGGGCCCAGCTGTGGTGCTGCAGCTGGGAAAGGGGGGGAAGGCACCGTGCACAAACGGGGCGAGAGAAGGGGGGTGGTGTAGACAAAAACAGGGAGTGGGAGGAGTCTGATTGGGGCGGGTCTTGCTCGGGACAGCACTGCAGGAGGGACCGCGCTAGCCCTCGCAGGCCACCTTGCTGGCGGCCGTCGCAGCAGCGGAGGCATCCTTCTCGGGGCTGGCGATGGCGAGGCGCTGCATGCGCCGGTGGATGGCTGCCGCGAGCTCCGAGTTGGGCGGCGCCCCGCCCAGCGGCGTCCGCGCCGCTGCTTGGCCGCCGGCCGCCACGGGGGACGGCGTGTGCCGCAGCTGCACCAGCGGCGCGGGTGCCGCCTCCTCCTCACTCACCCCCGTCTTCTTCAGCGCCGCGACCTCCTCGCCGCCCAGCCGCCGCTGCATGATCTCCACAGCCGCGGGGCTGGCGGTGGTGTTGAGCTGCGGCCGCATGCCGGGCGTCATGCGCGGCAGCACGCACGCGCCGAGCGCCGGAATGCCGCCCATGGCAGCCACCCGGCGCTCCAGGCTGCGCAGCTGCACGCCGTAGGGCGCGCCCTCGCCCTCGCCGCCGCCGCCTGCTGCAGGGGAGGCTGCCGCCGCCGCCGCCGCATCTTCTAACTGCAAGCGCAGCAGGCGGTGTGGCGTGGCAGCGTCCCCCATCTCAGAACCCCAACGCAAGAAACATGTGGGCAGCATACGTGGGCCGAGGCCCACATGCAGAGGAGGCAGACGAGCGAGCAGGAGGCCAGGCAACCCAGCTCGCCTCAACATGCCCCCCCCCCCCCCCCCGCGCTGCATACCTGCAGCCCCGACTCTACCGCAAAGCTGTCGAGCTCGGCCAGCTGCTCGGCGCCAAAGCGCGCCAGGCTGCGGCGGCAGCCTGCCAGCAGGTCGGGCAGCGCCTCGCGCTTGGTGTCTGGCACTTTGCGGATGGCGCCCTCCACCTCGCGCTGCAGCCCATCCAGCGACAGCTGCAGGTTGCGCAGGAACGCGGACAGCTCCTCCCGAGACATGGTGGGTGCTGGCTGCTGTGCCGACGGGCGGTGGCGCTGCAGCAGCGGGAAGAGCGGGATGAGAGACGGGGCGTCTGGCAGTGTGGTGCAAGCGCTCCCCATTGAGCAGCAAGCACAATCCAGCCGTGCAGGACATGCCTCAGACTCCCTGCAGCGCTGCTCTCCCTGGGCCAGCGTGTCACGGCACGGCGGCGGTGGGCGGCAACAGAGCAGCAGGCCGTGGCATTCTTCTGCCTACCTGGGATCTATCGGGGAGGCTGCTGTAGATCGTAAGAGTCGACCACGGTGCGAATGGGGGGCGCAAGGTGGGCGGGGAGCGGCGGAAGCGGAGCGTTCAAACCGGTTAGCGCAAAGAGCAGTGGCGGCAGGGCGTGGCGATCCCTACAGAGATGCTGGGCAAGGCAGGCGGGGGCAGGATGCACAGCAGCAGCTCTGCTCACCCTGAAGCCAAACCCCCCGCCAGCTCGGCAGTCAATGCAGGCGCCCTCCTTGGGGCCCTTCGCTCTCCTTGCACAGTCATTGCGACATCCACCACTGTCCCAGGCCCTCCCCACCAATCCTCTCGGCGCATCGGCGAAACCGGGCTGCACATCGCCTGCCGGACATGGATGGCTACGGCTCTGCAGCTTCTGCCAGCGGCGGGCAGCCAAGTGAAGGCCAGATCATGGAAGCTGTGAGTCATGTCGCCGGGTGGTGCAACATGCCGCCGCTGGCCAGAACCCAGAGCGCTCCGGGTTATTGGCGTCGTCATTAGGCTCTCCGCATGGTCCATGATGCATCAGACGCGCCGCATGAACTCCAGCGCTGGTTCGGGTGGGGGCGGTGGCGTCAGAGCTCTGCTGTGCCGCCGTAGGCTGTGGCAGGCAGAGGAGGCATGCATGAAGGGGCTAACAGGACATATTTTTCAACTGCTGCCTAGCTTCTTGGCTTCATATATGTGCAGGTACAGCAAGAGATGCAAGTAGCTTTTTTGTCCGAATTCTATCAGGTGGGTGGGCCACCGCCAGTGCGTCAGGCCACCTCTGCTCTGCCGCTCTGCTTGGCACCTCTCCTACAATGCATTCAGTGCATCATCATGAATAGAGAGCCAAGGGGCCCAAAAGCAGTCAGGCAGGCAGGCAGGCGCATCAGCCGCATCTCTGCATGTGCCAGTTGTGTGAGCCGCTCCTCTTCCTCCACTGCCCCCGCCCTGCATGCTGCCTGCCTGCAGACGGTGCGGGACAAGTGCTTCGACAAGTGCGTCACGAAGCCCAGCAGCAGCCTGAGCAGCAGCGAGCAGCAGTGCCTGGCGCGGTGTTGCGACAGGTGCGGGCACGCTGCCACTTGTGGGGGAGCGGTGTGCAGGGCTCCCAATGCTTGAAGTGCTGCAGGAGCCCGATGCAAGGCTCATATTCGCTGCTCTCTGCCTGCCTGCCTGCCTGCCTGCTATACAGGTACGCCGAGGCGACCCAGATAGTGACAAAGGCGGTCCTTGACATGAGCGGCCTCGAGTGACGCCACCGCTGTGCTGCGCGTTGAGGGAGCATGCCTTTGGGACTTAGGCAGCAGCTTCTGGTTGTACATTTCACTTACGTGTTCTAGATTGTAAGCAGACCCACTGGGGCCTTTGTCGATTGTCCACAACATCGGCGACCGGGCGGCACCTTGCCGCGGCGCCGGAGCACATGCAGCGCCCAAGCCCACCACATCTCATCAGTGTTTCAACTTCACCACGATTGAATACACTGCTCCGAATCCGGTTGGGCTGGCCACCGCTGCGTTTGGGGGGCTCTGTGTGGCACAAGCTCAGCGGCCATCGGACGGGCTTCCCGCAGCGCCCTCGCGCAGCGCCTGCAGCGTGCGAGAGCAACCGAATCGCAATTGATCGAGCGCACTGGTGCAAGTAGGGCAGGAGTGCCAGTGGCGGCGGGCGGGCGGCACTTGAGCGGCAGCGACGCAGCCTGCTCAGCTGTGACTGTTCACCAAGCTTTTGATTTTCCCACAGCAGCCATGGCTGGAAGGCTGCCAGTGGCAGGCTCCCCAGCCCACACTGCTGCGGCGCCACTAGCTCAGCCGCCCATGGCCCTGCGGCGGAGGCAGGTCGTCACCGTGCTGCCACCGCTGCTGGGCCTGGCCGCCGCCTCAGCAGCAGCCGCGCCGCCAGCGGCCAGCGCAGCGGCAGCCTTCTCGCCGTCCCCGGAAGCAGGCGCGGCGCCGCCGGCACTGCGACCAGACAGCCTCGCAGCCCGCATCTCCACCTTGGGTGACACATACGAGAGCCAGGCATCATGCCACCGTGGGCGCCCAAGCAGACCTACTTTCCGCGGTGGATGTTTGGCGAGTGGGAGGTGGGCGGGTGTGGCGGCCATCCATCCAGCCAGCCAGCCAGCCAGCCGGCTGCGGCGCGGAGACACCAGCCTGGCTGTTTGCCACCCAGGCCGGCGCGCCACCTCCACACCCCTGCTGCTGTCGGCGGGTGTGCTGCCTGCCTGCAGCGCCGTGCTGCCCCGCCCCTGACCCCTGCCCTCCCCCCTTGTGCAACCCCTCCCCACCCTCTCCTCTGGGCAGGTGGAAATGGAGTTCACGGGGCTGCGGCTGCCGCTGGGGCGAGAGTACGTGCCTGACGGCTTCCTCCAGGCAAGCCGTTGGCGAGCTGAGCGACGCCTCCCGCTTGCCTGGCTGCCTGGCGCGGTTTTCGGTGGCGGCCTGGCCTGGAGCGGGAATCGGGCGTGGGCCTGGCATGGCGGGCAGGCCGGCACAGGGTGCCTGCCCGCACACCCAGAGGCCCCCGCCAGCTGCTGCCCTTCCGCCGCCTCAGCCGCCTCTGCCACCCCCTGCCCTCGCTCCCACCCCCCATCGGCTGGCTGCAGGCGGCCGAGGCGCCTGCTGAGCAGGGCGGGGTGGGCAGCCGGTACGCCTTCCGCCAGCGCTGGTACTCCACGCTGCCAGACACGCTGGACAACCAGCTGAGGGTAGGTACCGCAGGCGGTACCGCAGGCTGCGCTGCCCACAAGGCCGGGCCGGGCCCTCGGGAGCAGCGGCACACGCTCCCCTCGCACCGGCAAGCGCCCCCAGCAGCCAAAGCCGTCGCTGTGGTGACGAGCGCGCATGCTGCCGTGCCCACCCGCCTCCTGCCTGGCAGCCTGCCTCACTTCCTGCCTTCCTGCTGCCCGACTGCCCGGCCACCCCTCCCACACCCATTAGGTCAACCTGGGGCTGGGCATGCCGCGCGACGCCATCATCGCCGACCGCGCCTTCAACACCCGCCAGGCCACCGACGCGTTCCTGGGGTGGGCGGCGGTGGAGGGCGTGGAGTACGACCCGCGGTGAGAGGGCTGGGCCTGCCTGGGGCTGCGCCCCTGTGGCATGTTACGGAAGGTGGTGTGGGGCTGCGCCGCTGTGTGGCAGGTAAGGTGGGGTGAGGGTGGGCAGCCCGTGAGCAGCCGGCCGGAGCACCGCCCCTCCCAGCAGGCATGCCGGCCGGGCGCCGAGCGCCGCCGGCGTGGGCTGTGCGTGCCTTGCGCCTGCAGGGACGCGCCGCTGCGCGCCACGGTGGAGCTGTCCCGCGTGGCTCCCGACGCCTCCCCCCTGCCGCCCCGCCGCCTCGAGCTGTACATCAACAACCTGGCCTCGGACGGGTCCACCGAGGGGCAGGGGCAGGAGGCGGGGGACGTCGCCTTCTATGCTAGCGAGCTGTGCCGCCAGGTGTGTGTGTGTGTGCGTGGTGGGGCAGACAGGATCGGGGCGGGACTGGGAGGGAAGGGATTGGGGTGGCTGGAATGCGTGTTGGCGGGCCGTGGGCGCAGGCTGCGCTGCCCTGCTGTGCCGCCCTTCGGCCGCAGCGCTGCCCGCCACCACACGCCGCACAGCACCCGTCCAGCATGCACGCGCCACGTGCCGCGCTGCCATGTGCGCCTGCCAGCCTGTGTGGCAGTGCCTCTACCTGCCCATGCCCATGCGCCTGCCCGTGCCCATGCCCGTGCCCATGCAGGTGCTGGTGGGGGCGCGCCAGGTGGAGGTGAAGGATTACGAGGTGATGCACAGCTGGCGCCAGCTGGCGCCCGGCCTGGTTCAGGGCCGCCAGCGCAGCTGCCTCTACCTGCAGCCGCAGGAGCGGCGCTACTTCTCCGCCGCGGGCCGCGCCGTGGCGGTCTACGACTACCGGTTTTCGATGCGGCGGGTGGCGCCCGAGGCGGATGCGCCGGCGGGGGCGGTGGCATGCGTACCCACGCCTAAAGATGTGATTCAGTGCGTGTGAGACCGGCGGAGTCGTGGAGCGCGGGCGGAGCCGCGGAGCGCCGCCGATGCCCCGGTGCTGAGTTGGGCCGCGGGCGCGCTGGGCCGCTTCATCGCCGCGCGATTTCAATCCATTCTTTATTTGCTCGCACCGCTTTCTCTGTGTGTTACAGTCCTCGGCTCCCGCCTTGGCCAGCCGGGAGCACATGCAGCCGCTCACATGCTCGCCGTGTCGGGAGGCCCAAACCCCAGCTGCCGCACGTCGCTGGCGTACTGGCGCTGCATGTGGGCGAAGCAGGCGGCGTGGCGGCCCTGATAGTACTGTTCGGGACGGCAATACTGCTCTCGCGCTGACGCCATGCCAATCCGCGCCAGCCGCTCCGTCTCTGCAGGCAGGCGAGGCGGGCAGGCAGGCAGGCAGGACAGGCAGGGAGTCGGGCAGGCACGTCGGGCATGCCGGTTGGAAAAAGCCAGGCCGCCGCCCTGGCTGCAGCGCCGCGGCCGCAGCGCGCCGCCGCCGCACCCGACGCGTTGCAGCTGTGCGCATTCACGACCTCAAAGCCGCTGGCCACCGGCCGGATCTGCGGGCGGCAGCGGGGAGGGGTGCTGAGCGACGGTTTGGCAGCCGCCGCATGCAGGCGGGCTGGCTGGCGGTGCTCCGCCACCAGACTGCCGATGCCCCGCACCCTCCCGCAGGCACCCGGCTGCGCTGCAGCACACCCCACATCCCGTGTGCGAGGCATCGCAAGCCGGCCCGCACTGCTTGGCACAGCCCGCCGCGCCGCAGCACCCCCCAGCACCTCCCGGCCGCGCTGCAGCGCGCCCCCTGCCCAGCGGCACGGGCCGGGCCGGGCAAGGCGGCCTCACCGGCGGCACATCTGGGGCCCGCCGCCGCTCCAGCTCATCCAACACCTCCTGCAGGTCCTCCCGCAGGTGCTCCACCCGCCCAATGTAGTCCAGGGCCCAGCCGCCTCCCTCGGTGAGCATGCAGTCCAGCTGCGGCTGCAGGTGGGTGTAGGTGTAGCGTTTGCCGCCGCGCCTGCGCAGGGCGGGCAGCGGGGGGCGGCGGCGGGGGCTGGTTGAGGATCGCAGCAGGCACGGCGGCGCGCACCGGGATGCGAGGGGGAGAAAGACAGGAAAACACTGCACCAGCTGTCGCACAGGTGGGGAGCCACAAGAGGCATCGCCCATGAGGCGCCGCGCAGGTGGGCTGAACAACGTCCCTGCCAGCCGGGCACGCCCTTCCCAGCAGACACAGGCCCCAGGCGCCCACAGGCCACAGCCCCATGCAGAGCCGCACAGCGCTGCGCTCACTGCTTGCACTTGGGGTCCTGCATGCACTCGTCCCCAAAGCCGCCCGCATCCGCGCAGAAGGTGTCCCAGCGGTAGCCGCGGTGCAGCGCGCCCCCCTGCTGCACCGCCCGCAGCACCATGCGGTACAGGCTGACCGCTCGCTGGTACGGGTTGCGCACCTGCGGTACCGAGCGGCGCGGCCGCGTGGGGAGGCAGCGGGAGGCAGCGCAAGCGCGGTGAGCGAGGTGCGGCGAACCAGGCGTGGCGCCGGCGCGGCGGCGGGCGGGCGTTGCCAGCCCGCATTGCAGCGTGCCTGTTGCCACCCGCAGGCGTCCCCGCTGCGCGCTGCCGCCCCCGCGGCGCCCCACCGCAGCAGCAGCCACTCACAAAGCTGACCACCAGATAGTCCCTCCACATCTTGCTCAGCTCCTCCTCGCTCATCCTCTGCCGGACAATGAGGAAGATGGGGGGGTGGGTGGGGGGGGGTGCTCAGGCGGGGGCGGAGCAGCAGGCCAGAATTGAGGGCGGCAGGGGCGGCCACGCCCCAGCCCAGGCATTTCAAAGCAAGGCGCCTACAGCTGCACACTCCCCAACGGCGCCGTCCATGCAGCCACCACGGTCACCCCCCCCTCTCCCTGCCGGGCCCCCGCCTC